ATCACATTTTTACTTAAACGAATTACAATAGAGTTCACAACATAAATACCTCATTTCTTTGTCAATCAAAAGCATAGACCACAACCTTCTTCAATTCCAATAAGAAATATGAATGAATGAAAAGAGAACTTTTTTTAAGCGTAAAAGAGTTGTGTTTTGCAGCTACCACAATGCAATCCCATATCTAATATTCAAATTGGGTGGGTCCCATCATGGGTGTCCCACCCATATCTAATATCTCCCACTCACATGATGAGACTATTTCTCTCTGTGCTTCTTCAAGGTTCATACTTTAGTAAATATGTCGTGTGACCATGCATACATCGAGAGCACATTAGTCATATATCTGTTAGGAATATATAACTTCTCGAATTGTGAAACTTGTGTTGTATGTAGTATGCAATACCTTAGATTACTTATCACATCTTTCTCTAACTATCTCATTTATAATAAACATCAATTATATTCATAATTATGTTCTGTCCTTACATTAAAAAAAAAAAAAAAAAAAAAAAAAACATAATTGGTCGACCAATGAATACACATGATTATAGTGTGATAATCCAAAATTGTAATCTTCCTCTTTTCTCGATTCTTGCAACTTTCATTTAATTTGATTTTCCAGAAATGTCCCAACATATTGAATTTATCTTAATCTTTTGGCAACACTCTAAAATAGCAATCATTAAATAAGGTTTTCAAGAAACAGAATAGAGTAATAAGGGTACTCTATGAGATTTTGTTCTTAAAATCTCAAGGTCTCGCACAATGTTAAAGTTGAGATTTTGACTTTCATTACCATTTTGGTCAATATTTTTGCACATGTGGTATGAATCACATGCTACAGCAATTCCTCCTTTCCCATGGAGTGCATGTCTCTTTTTTTTTCTTGTAAATATCATACAGATTTTAGTTCAAACATACCTAATGTCTAACTTGAGTTCACTTTACATATTTTTAATTCATCAAAACTCTAATCTGGCAATTAGACATATAAAGTGATAAATTTGGATAATTTATCACTTATGGTCATATTTCATTATGACATTATTTTTATTCTATTTTAGGCGACGTTAAATATTTTAAGCTTGACTCTCTATTATCACCTAGATAATAAGCTTAGAATCATCTCATCTCCATTCCCACAAAGTAATGGAGGCGATTGCCTGTGTAAGAAGGCCAATCTTTTAACTATCCGACATGCTTTTCAAAATAAATATATATAATATTTACATAACAAATATGTGTATAGGAATAAACTCTACATAGTCATAAAAAATTCTAGTCCCAATTTGGGATAGTTATAAATGAGAATAAACTTCACATTATAATAAGTTATAATTTTTCTAATTGATGCCTTAAGGAAAGTTGTCTCTACATAGTAATAATTATCTGTATATTACAGAAAAATATATGTAATGTTACATCAAAGGTTTAAGATGAGATAAAATATTTATCTAAAGTTGTTTGGGACAATGATTTATGTTTTCGAATTATTACCACATCTTTTATCTACGAGTACGTAATAACTCGCTAGAATGGACATCTTCTTATTGAAGCCAAAATATTTTTAGCTTCTCAAGTATGTTTATAGCTTCATGGCACGAAACTTTTTCTATTTATGTACTATCATCCTCATTATTTCCATTCTCTTCTTGTCTAATTGCAACAATGATTTTTTCTTTAGTTAAAACATACACGATTTATTGTTCATTTTGATGATCGAAGAAGACATTAATATCCATTCGATTAGTGTAGTGAAGTTGTCGAATCTGATCACTCAATGACTCTTTTATTCTCCTCATCCATTTCATTTGTAACTTGCAATTCATTAACATTGGGGGTCCTAATTTTGCAGTGCTTAAAACCATTGGCAATTTTCTGTAGCTTCACATCAATTGACCATGCATTAACTGCATTTATAGTTCCATCAATGACACTTATCTTTGTTAGTTCCAAGACATGATCTTATATCCATTTCAAAAGTAGGCAATTGAAACGCTGATTTGAAATCCTAATACTACTAAAATATGAATTATAAAATAAGAAATCAAAACAATAATTTTTGTAACTACACCTCTATTAAGTTATAGCCTCCTCATAATAGCAAAATTAGTTAGTCACACCTTTATAACTATAGAGAGGTTTTACTATATATATACACATACTCTCCTTCAAGTAGGTTCCATAATAAACGAAATTGAGCATAGACAATATTGTTATTTAATATTGATAAGACAAACGTAAACATTTTTAGGAAATCTTTAAATATGAGTACATTCAACATCTATGTAAGTCTAGAGATCTAACATGTCTATTAAATGTATCTCTTCGTATAGGTTTTGTAAATGGATCTGCAACCATGTCATGCGTAGATATGTACTTCATGTTTACCTCATTTTATGCCACCAAATCTCACACAAAATTGTATTTGATATCTATGTGTTTTGTTTCACCATGATATTTAGGATCCTTAGTATATGCTATTGCTACTTGACTGTCCCAATTTACTCTCATTGGTTCAATAACAACATTAATTATTCTCAGATGATTCATGAACCTTTTCAACCAAACGGCTTCTTGCATTGCAGCTGAAAATGCTACAAACTCAGCCTCCATGGTAAATAAGGCTATGCATGATTGTTTCTTACTACTCCAAGATATGGCCTTGCCATTTAATAAGAAAACATATCCGAAAGTAGATTTCCTTTCATCTAAATCTCCTCCCCAATCAGCATTGGTGTAGCCTCTCAAGTGTAAATCATTTCCTTGATAACATAATGAGTAATCAGTTGTTCCCTTTAGATATCTTAAGATTCTCTTCATTGCTTTCCAATGTGCTTGTCTTGGGTCGGACTGATATCCACTTACCAACCCACCAGCGTAACCGATGTCGTCTTGTGCACATCATGGTGTACATGAGACTTCCAATAGCACTTGTATAAGGAACATTCTTCATATGTTCCTTTTCTCGTGGAGTCTTCAGACACAATTTACAACTCAAAGTCTCACCTTTTGCAATAGGGTTATCTATAAGTTTACAATCTTGCATATGAAATCGTTCAAGAATTTTCTTAATGTATGGCTCTTATGAAAGAGATACTAATTTCCTTGAGCGATCTCTTAAAATCTTGACTCCAATGACATATGCAACTTCACCCATATCTTTCATCTCAAAATGAGATGATAACCATCCTTTGATTTCATTGAAAAATCCCTAGTCATTTCCAGTTATAAGTATATCATCAACATATAATGATAATATAACAAATTTGTTATTGGATCTCTTTATATATACACAGTGATCTTCATCAATCATTCTGAAATCATACGACATTATCACATTATGAAATCGAATATACCATTGTCTTGAGGATTGCTTGAGGCCATAAATTAACTTTAAAAGTCTACACACTTTATGTTATTTACCTTCTCTAAAAAAAACCTATTGGTTATTCCATATAGATTTCTTCTTGTAATTCTCCATTGAGAAAAGCAATCTTTACATCCATTTGATGCAATTCAAGATCCATGTTAGCAACTATAGCTAGAATAAGTCGGATTGAGGTAAACCGCACAACAAGCGAAAAAGTTTCTTCATAATCTATTACTTCTTGCTGTGTATACCTTATCACAACTAAGTGAGCTTTGTATCTTTCAATATTGCCATCAGCTTTATGCTTGATTTTGATAACCCATTTGTTCCCAATGGCTTTGCATCCTTTCGGTAAATCAACCAATTTCCATACTTGGTTTGATTTCATAGACTTCATTTCTTCTTCCATTGCTTTCATCCATTTTTCCTTAGAAGAGCATTTGAGAGCCTCATTTACATTCCCTGGCTCTTCTTCATCTTGTGGAGTAACTACAAAAATTCCCCCTTCAATCTCAAATCGTCAACGTGGAACTTGTTTCCTATTTGATCGACGTATTGGACATTGATTAGTGTTACTCCCACTTGGACCAGCTATCATAGTCGGATCGTCAGCGAGGAATGATGGAGGATCTGAAATTGATTCATGAACTTTCATATCGCTCCCACTGGGATGTAGTATATAACCAACCAGTTTTCAACAGCAGAATTTCCCTAGTCTTGTGTTTCATATAGAAACAATTCTTGACTTATCTCGCCCTTCTTAGGAAAATCAGTTTCTAAGAACATGACACCTTGTGATTCAAACTCAGTGATACTACCACTTTCTTGTTCTCCTACGAAGACGTATCCCTTTGAATGTGCTGAGTATCTTATGAAAATACATTTCTTCCCCCTTGGCCCTAGTTTTCCATATTTATGGGAAGGGTCATGAACATAGGCAACACATCCCTATGGTTTTAGGAGACTCAAAATGGGTTTCCGATTTGTCCATAACTCATGTGGTGTAGTAGTAACAGATTTAGAGGGTACTCGGTTGAGTATGTATGTGGCAGTCAATAAGGCATTACCCCAAAAGGTGATGGGAAAATTTGCTCGTGTCATCATAGACCTCACCATTTCAAGTAGGGTTCTATTTCTTCTTTCTGCAACACCATTATGTTGCGAAGCTCTTAGAATAGTTAATTGACAATCTATTCCAATTTCATCACAAAAATTTATGAACTGATCAGATAGATATTCACGACCTCGATCGGTTCGTAGAACTTTTATCTTTTTATCTAATTGATTCTCAACTAAGTTTTTAAATTCTTAAAGCATTCTAAAGCTTCAGATTTATAAAAGATAAAAAAGACATAACTATATCGGGTGAAATCATCTATAAATGTAATGAAATAAACAGCCTCATGTCTAGCCTCACATTCATTGGACCACATATGTCAAAATGAATTAATTGCAATGGAACTTCAGCTCTTATCACTTTTCCGAATGGTTTTCTTGCTGTTTTTCCAACTAGGCAATGTTCACAAGTAGACAAGTATACTTTTGTTAAGATTCCTATCAAGCCTTCTCTTGCTAGTATATTCATTCGTTGTTGGCCAATGTGGCCAAGCCTTGCAGGCCATACATTCACATCATCATTACTGGAAGATGTAATGAAGGAAAAACAAGCATAACTATAATTATAATCAATATCTAGTACAATAAAACCATCAAAAATATAACCACAACCATAGTATTTTGTGTCCAAAATTAAATGGACACCAGTATTGGAAAATTTTAAATTAAAACCTAATTTAATAAGTTCTAACATAGAAATCGAATTTCGACAAATATTGGGTACATATAACACGACATGTAGGTATAAGATTCGACCTCTAAGCATGGTCAATTTGCATGTGTCGATCCCCTTAACTTCCACTTTTGAATTGTTACCTCATATATCCACTTTGTTTCTCATGGTATTCAGCGAAACTCCATGAAAGCACTCCTGTCTTTCGCTATATGGTATGTGGCTGCTGAATCTACAGTCCACAAAGGATGAGATTCAGTTAGAAAAACAGAATTTGAAACATTTATAGAACTTACTTGTGCAAACAAGTATTTACCTTCTTTGACTCGCTACAATTGCAAGCAAAATGTCTCTTGTTTCCACAATTATAGTATTTCACCTTTGCCATGTTTTTCTTCTTAGCAGGATGCTTTCCTTTTCCGTGTTTATAAAACTTTCTTTTCTTTCCTTGAGCCTTATCATTATTGCCTTTTCTTTGGGATCCACCTTGGAATTTACGCTTAAATCCCTTCCCACCATGTGAACTGGAACCAGTCATACACACATCAGTATTTGCCTTATTAGCATTAAGGCGTTTTTCTTCCAGTTTCAGATGTCATATGGCATCTTCTAAATTTTTTATGCCCTCATTGTGGGTAAGGTGTATCTTCATGTTTTCCTAATTTTGAGGCAATGATCTTATGACAACTTGAACTTGTTCATCAATTAGGACATAACCTACATCTCTCAATTCACTAATCATGATTGACAAGTACCTTAAGTGTACTCTCATAATGTGTTCATGTTTTTTCTTATATGTGTCAAACTTGATTTTAAGTGACTAGAGTTTTGTGATGGACATACCTCCAAACTTTGTAGCATGGGTGGACCATATGTCCTTTGCTAATTCATATTCCCGATACTTTGTCATCGGATCATTGTCCATACTACTCAACAAAGTGATGCAAGCAGTGGAATTCTTTTTCTTCCACATGTCATAAGTCGCACGGTCTCTTCTATGTTGAGTCGTGGCTCCTTCTTCAGGCTCTTCCATGGTCGTGGTAAGAGCTTCAAGAACCTCCTGTTCTTCCAAGACATATTGGATTTTCATACTCCATATCTCATAATTTTCATCATTAAATTTTTTTCTTTCACTAAGTTCGGCGACAATGTTCTTAGATGCAGATGTCATTCCTAAAAAAAAATATACACATTAGATAATGCATGTTATTTAATACTCGGAACATACATATATTTCCTTAATTAATTATACCAATAATAATTGTATATTAGATTTAGAATCAAAAGTTTACTATGTCAACAATCATCATCCAAAATTCTAATCTTCAACTATCATAGATATAATTAATTGCAATTCTAAAACAATATAAAGACATATTAATATAAATATAATCCAACATAAATACACATAGAACAACAACAACAAAAATATTCAAATTTTCATAAAATAATAAATAAAACTAATTCCATTGTGTAAATAGAATTCAACATTAGTGACATTAAAACAAACAAATGTCCAAAAAAAAAATTAAATGTAATGCCACATCCCACAAACTGGGAAGGATCTAAGAAGCCCTATTCTAAGGTCATTATATAACTTGTAAGTTATCCTAGGCAAGGGAACTCCTAATTTCTTGTGATGTCTTTTACGAGTAAAGACTCCAATAGATGCATCAGCCGTCTTTCTGGCACCCCAATCTATGTACTCCTTGATGTATTTGTTGACTAAACATCTATAATCTTTATTGGCACCTTTAAGGTTTTGATCTATTAGCTTGTTCCATACCAGATCAAGGAGACCAACGAGACTAGGGTAATTAAGAGTCTCCCAAACAATTTCTTGCATCTTTTCATTCACATGAATGAAATGATTCACTGGTTGTTCCAACTCATCCTTTTTGTCTTTTAATATTACGATGTGAGTTTGTAGAGTTCTAACTTTCCTTCTAAACGGGTGTTCTAATAGCCTTCGCATATCTATAACTTAACATTTTTTTGTAACAAATACAAAACAAAACAAAAAAAAAAAAAATCTATTCATTTATCAAATAAAGGTTAACTATATTTGACAAATAATATATTTACACGTGTCTATGGCTCAATAACTAAAATAGACCCGCAATATCATACCAAGTATTCATTTTATTATTTAAAGAAATATTTTTCGAACCCTTCATGCACCGGCAAGAGTTGCCACGCACTCCCACATGCCGGTAGAAGCTGTCACACGCCTACACTCGCCGGATCCTCACCTCACCTTAACTTCAGGTCGATATGACTTGTTTCCCCTTTGACCCGATCAACTTGGCCCAATTTGACTTTGTTGACCTTGTTTGACCGTACGGGTGGGGTATTGACCCAATTTGGCCCAGTTGACCATTGATCAGGTTTGACCAACCCGTTTGACTGTAAGGGTTGGATATTGACCGAATTGGTCGACCCGGTTGACCATTGACCAGGTTTGACTAACCCGTTTGACATTCTGGGTCGAATACTCAAGTCAACTTGATCCATTTGATTTTGTTATGGGTTGGGCCTGGATTGAAATATCATGGATTATTCAAGAATGACTAATACTAAAAATATTGTAGCCTAATGGTTAGGAAGTTGGGCTTTTATTCATGAGACTTGGGTTTAAGTTTTAGCAACCAAGTTTTTGTTTTTACAAATTAAAAAAAAAAAATACAATGCAAAATTAAAACAAAAAATATAATCAGTAAAATTATGAAAACAAGCAATTTGCTCATATGGTTCAGAGCAGTATAGCCTTAGAAGGCTTGGGTTCGATTCATAGGTTATCTCTATCTTTCTGCCCTCCTTTTATTTTTTTATTTTTTTTTATTTAAACAAATGACATGTCATTTTTAGGGCTGAATTGAAAACGACATGTTGATTCATTATAGTCATCTTCAACCTCTATCCTGGTTTGCAACTTGGTACCCGACCCAAAAAATAACTTGTTACGAACTCGAAAATTTAAAGAACCATATCTTAGCCATTTTTACTTTGTTTTTTGTGATTCAAAAGTCATTCTCTTCATAATTTATAAGGAAATTAATAATCTAATTATTTATCCAAAAAAACAATTCTACCAACATGAAAAACAAAATTTCAGAACTGAACATAAATAACATTCAGCATACTTTAACATAATAGCACGAAACAAAAAAAAATGCAAACCATGCTCTGATACCATTGTTAGTAAATTAAGAATTACAGAATTCCTAAATCATCCCAAGATCATATGAAAAGTCACCAATTGCAATCACATTTTTACTTAAACAAATTGCAATAGAATTCACAGCATAAATACCTCATTTCCTTGTCAATCAAAAGCATAGACCATAGCCTTGTTCAATTTCAGTAAGAAATATGAATGAATGAAGACATAACTTTTTTTTAGCGTAAAAGAGTTTTGTTGAATAAGTTTTTCATCAAATGAAAAACTTTCATATAGGTGCAGAGATAGTGGTAAATTCCTTTTGTAGTTACCACAACGCAATCTCATATCTAATATTCAAATTGGGTGGGTCCCATTATGGGTGTCCCACTCATATCTATTACATTTGATAGGAACCCACCTGAACAACTTAAACAATTGGGATGGGCCATGGGTCTTTCATGGGCTTGGGTAGAACTCTCATTGGAAAACTGCTTTGCTCGGGGAGGGTGCCCAAGCCCTTTATAAACCACATGCCCATCATTTTCCCTTCTAATGTGGGATCCTAACACAGCCACTGGTTCAATGTAAAGTTATGGGGGCGTTTGGATCATAAAATGTTTTATTATAGGGGGACATTATATTAACAGAAAGAAAGATCACCTTGAAGATTACTAAGATTGTTTAGAAAATGTGTTTAAATTGTTCGAATAAATTGGTGAATAATAAGTTTAGTTGGGAGGATAAATGGGTGGGTATGTTATATAGATTACTACATTGCCCTCATTTTTAAATATTAATATAATAGTATTTTTTATTATTATTTTTTGAATCATTTTTTTTTACCCCCTACATTTGAAATTTTGTTGAAACACCCCAGCCATATAAAACTTTAATTTATAGCAAAATCACCCCCACCCACCCCAAGCCATTGTCGGCAGCCAGCCATCACCGCTGGCAGTTGACAGAATGGCACACGACTGGCTGTATATGGTCGGCCATGCACCGACAAAGCCATTTTTGGCCATGGATCACAAATCCATGCATGGAAAATTGCCAGATATATGGCCATTTCACGACTAAAGATGTGGCCGTATCTTTGGCTGTGAAACAGTCATAGAAACACCAGATCATATCCATGGACAGAAAAGGTCGTAATGGTGCACAACCGGCGGGATCTGGCCGGTCGTCCACCATTACGACAATTGACGTCGACGACTGGCGATGGTGAGTCACAACCAGTGGCGGTCTTGGGTGGCTGAGGGTATTTTATTAATTTTTAAACTTTTTTGTGGCTGGGGTGTTTTAGCTAATTTCTCAAAAGTAGGGGGTCTAGGTAATTGTTATTTGGTAGACATTTGAGGGCACTTGTGTCCAAAATGGTTTTAATTAAGGGCAAAAGGGGTAAAAAAAATCAGATTATCCCGGTAATGTTTTAATCCCAAGGGTGGGGGAAGGTATCGGATTACCCCCCACATTACCAACAGTAAACAATTTGCGATAAAAGATTCACGTAATATTTTATTACTTACAAACCAAACACTAGAACCTTGCAAAATAAACGAAGACTACCCCTATTATCTTATATACCCCCCGATCCAAACGCAGTATGTTCATTGTTCATTGTCCATAATTAAAAGATATATAACTTGTATTCTCCAATTGTACCTAATTGATATTATACTTTTTTACATGAATGGGGGCATTTGGATCATATAATATTTTATTATAAGGGTATATTATATTAACAGAAAAAAAGATCACCTTGAAGATTACTAGGAATGTTTAAAAAATATGTTTGGTTGATTCGAATAAATTAGTGAATAATATGTTTGGTTGGGAGAATAAACGAGTGGGTATGTTATATAAATTACTAAATTGCCCTTCTTTTTAAATATTAATATAATGTTATTTTTTTATTATTATTTTTTAAATTATTTCTTTTAACCCCCTATATTTTAAATTTTGCTAAAACACCTCAGCCATATAAAACTTTAATTTATAGCAAAATTACCCCCACCTACCCCAAGCCACTATTGGCAACCAACCACCACCGCTAGTCGCTGTCAACAGTTGATGGAATGGAGCACGTCTGGCCGTAACCGTATATGATCGGCCTGTGCCTGCAAAACTAAAAATGGCCATGGATCACAAATCCATGGCCGAAAAATGGTCAAATCTATGGTCATGAAACAACCATAGAAACACCAGATCTAGCCGTTTCTAGATCCATGGCCGAAAAAGGCCTTACCGATGTACGAATGGCCAGATCCTACTGGTTGTGCACCATTACGGGGACTGACGCCGGTGGCCGATGGTGGTGAGTCACAGTCGGCAGTGGTCTTGGGTGGTTGGGGGTATTTTGTTAACTTTTAAACTTTTTTGTGGCTGAGGTGTTTTAGCTAATTTCTCAAATGTAGGGGGACTGAATAATTGTTATTTGGTAAACATTTGAGGGCAATTATGTCCGAAATGGTGTTTAATTAAGGGCAAAATGGGTAAAAAAATCAGATTATCTCGATAATATTTTAATAACACCCCCTAGCAAGGTAATAAGATTACCCCTCACATTACCAACAGTAAACACTATTTGCAATAAAAGATTGTCGTAATATTTTATTACTTGCAAACCAAACCTAGCAAGGTAATAAGATTACCCCCCATATTACCAACAGTAAACACTATTTACAATAAAAGATTATCGTAATATTTTATTACTTGCAAACCAAACACAAGAATCTTGCAAAATAAACGAAGATTACCCTCGTTAACTTATTTACCCCCGATCCAAACAGCCCCAATGAGGAAAAAAAAAATTCACTTACTTAAATTATCACATTTAACTTACAACAATTCTTATATTTCTCATTAAT